TGAGGTCTCGCAGGACCCGACAGAGTGTACTCAGCCCTCTGTCGCAGTACCGTCTGCGCCTCCGCAGACCACCGTCTCCCCTCCTACCCCGCCGCGACTACCGACGCGTCGAGCCATTCGCTCAGCCCGTTGCAGCGAGCAGCTCGCTACTAACGAGGACGTTGTGTCCTCTCTTCTGGACTTGAGCATGCTACAGGCTCGTCAGGAGCGACTCACCCTCCATGTCGCTGCACTGCGTCGCCTTCTCACCATCCTCTCGGATACTGATCGCACCCTCCCGATCATTCCCATACGACTGGGGACCTCCACGAGGGTGTACTCAGCGCTGTGGGATTCCGGTTCTCATGGCGACTTCATTCACCCACGTGTGGTGAAAGAAGCCCGCTTACTCACGACAAGGTCTCCGTCTCCCATCTCTGTTACCCTAGGGGATAACAAGACCCAACGTTTCTTCGATCAGACGGTCACCGACCTCCCTTTCTTCCTCACTCTCGAGCCAACTGATCGTCCCCCGGCGTCTCGTCGCCACCGCTCCTCTGCACATTTCAATGTGATGGAGACGGGGTACGACTTCATTCTCGGCACTCCGTGGTCTCGTCGGTTTTGCAGCACCGAGGCCGATTGGGCGACCAACACTCTCGTTCTCAAAACGAAGTGTGGACAGACGTATCGCGTACCTTTCATAGGTACCACTGCGACACCACGCCTCGATCCCCCTCCCGCGGAGCCTTCCGTGCCCACACCATCTCCTTCTATCACTGTCACCTCGCCTCGGCAGTTCGCCCACTTCATCCGACAGGACGACGTCACCTTCTTTATGGTGAACGTGACGGATCTCTTACACTATGATCCACCCTGTCCTGACGTCGAGCTCATCCCTCTGGAGCCAGATCCTCCTTCTATCTCAGTGGCTCTCATCTCTACTTCCCACCCTCCGTCGTTCGCCGAGTCCACCCCACCGTCGCTTGCTGACGCTGACGCTGAGGAACTCGCACGATATACGGCTGACCTGGAGCCAGCAGTTCGTGACCTCATTCGAGAGTACCACGACGTTTTTCCGTCGTCGTTCTCGTACACTGGCATCCCACCGATGCGCGACGTCGAACACTCCATCCAGCTCGTGCCTGACTATCGTGYTCACCACCAGGCACCCTACAGACTCTCGATCCCCGAGGCCACCGAACTCAAGCGTCAGCTTGAGAAGCTCCTGAGACTGGGTTTCATTAAACCCARCAACTCCCCGTGGGGTGCACCCGTCCTCTTTGCTCGCAAAGCGGATGGAACCCTCCGTCTCTGCATCGACTATCGCGGTCTCAACCGCTACACGGTTAAGAACAGCTACCCCATATCTCGTTCCGGTGAGTTGTTCGACCGCCTAGCAGACAACCGCTACTTTACGAAGAATGATCTTCGTAGCGGTTACCATCAGATCCGCGTCGCTGCAGCGGACCAGCCGAAGACAGCGTTCCGATCGCGCTTCAGCTACTATGAGTTTACGGTGATGCCATTCGGCCTCACCAACGCACCCGCTACCTTCCAGAGGGTGACGAATGACATCTTCAGGGACATCCTGGAGCAATACGTTCTCGTTTACTTTGACGATATCCTGGTCTACAGTCGTACCCTTGAGGAGCACCTCAGACACCTCCGCGACGTCCTTGACCGCTTGCGCAGACATGGCTTCTACGCCAAGCTGAGCAAGTGCCGCTTTGCCCGGCACAAAGTGGATTTCTTAGGACACTACGTGTCTGATTAGGGTCTCGACATGGACGACGCGAAGATCACTGCTATTGCGAAGTTGCCCGTTCCCACATCCGCCAAGCAGCTTCGCAGCTTCCTAGGAGTTACCACCTACTATAGTAATTCCATCCAGGGATACACTAGGTAATCCTACGTCCTTACCTCCACCCTCCTCCGGAGGAACCCGCCCTGGGCTTGGACACCCCTCCACGAGGACGCCTTCCGCGCCCTCAAGAAGGCGGTGACATGCGCACCGGTGCTTCACCTACCCGATTTTGATCGCTCTTTTATCCTTACCCCTGATGCGTCAGACTTTGCTGTAGGAGCATTACTTTCTCAGATTTTCCCCTCCTCTCCTGATTCCTTTCATCCTCGTATCCCTCGCTTCCCACCACCTACCCCTACCACTGCTTCTCGACTGACGCCTACTCGTCCAGCTACTGACGAGCCTTCTATTGACTATTCTCCTACCATCGCCGATGACGGCACTGTTGTCCGATAGCCTTCTACCCCCGTCAGCTCCTGTCCGCCAAGATAAACTACACCGTTGATGAACGTGAGGTTCTCGTAGTAGTTTATGCCGCTCGGCATTGGCGTCACTACCTGCACGGGGCACCATTCACGGTGCGCACGGACAACTCTATTGTCCAGGCTTTTCTGACAAAACCAAAGCTCACTCCTCGACAGGCTCGCTGGTGGCGCGACCTATCCGAGTTTAGTTTCACCACTGAGCACATCAAGGGTGAGACTAATCGCGTTGCAGATGCCTTATCCCGGCGCCCTGACCACGACCAGGAGCAGATCCAGCTCTCTTCCATCTCGGTCACCACCGTCCACCATTCGGTGATCGACGAGTTTCGTAGTCAGTACCGCCACTGCCCCGACTACCGCGACATCCACGCGACCCTTCGGAGTGGCAAGATCGTCCCGAACTACTCTCTGGGGGACAACGGTCTTGTGTACTGGCATGGTTCACAGGGCACCAAAGAGCCCCGTATTTGCATTCCCTCCACTGGACAGCGACGTGTTCGAGCAGTAGCAGAGTTCCATGACCAGACAGCCGCCGGTCATATGGGTTTCCACAAGACGTTGGCTCGTGTGAGCCGCCTGTACGTCTGGTCGAAGCGCAAGGACTTTGTGAAGGACTACGTCGCAGAGTGTCCCACCTGTCAGGAGGTGAACAGTGTGAACCTGCCTTATGGTTTGCTTCAACCTCTTTCTATCCCTGAGGGTCGTTGCCAGTCCATCTCGATGGATTTTATCGGTCCTCTTCATCCTCCGACCCCTCGCCGTCATGATGCTACCCTGGTCGTCGTCGACCGCTTCACAAAGCGTGCACGCTTTGTTCCGTGCCGCTATGCCATCAGTGCACGTGAGGTCGCCGACATCGTGTTTGACTGAGTCGTGCGTGACCACGACTTACCTCTGACCATCATATCTGACCGTGACCCACGCTTTACCAACCGATTCTGGCGACGACTCCACACGGTTTATGGCACCCAGCTCCGCTTCTCCTCGTCTTACCATCCCAAGACTGATGGTCAGACCGAGGTCACGAACATGACTCTCGGAGATATTCTTCGAAAGATTGTTCGTGACGACCAGCAGTGGGATCTCCATCTTGCCCACGAGGAGATAGCCTACAACCTCGCCGTCTCGCTAACCACGGGGATGTCGCCTTACTATTGCGACCTCGGCAATTACCCTCGTGTTCTCGCGGACTTCCGTCGACCGTCACAGATGTACCCCGACATGAGTTGTCCCATGCTGGATGATTGGGTTGCACACATGACGTCGATCATGAAGACCGCACATGAGCACATAGCTGCTTCCTAGACTCGCATGGCAGCACGTGCGAACCGATCGAGGATGACCATCCATTCAAAGTCGGTGATGATGTGCTTATCGACGCCCGCCACTTACAGCTCGAAGCGGACACGCTTTCCAAGTTTCAGCGTCGCTTTTTTGGCCCATGCCGCATCCTCTAGGCCGTCGGTTCGGATACGGCTTCTAGCCCGGTCAGCTTCCGTGTGAAGTTGCCCGACTACCTACGCCAGGCTCGTGTGCACGATGTCTACCACTTCTCGTTATTGCGTCCTTACCGCAGACCGTCTGAGCGTTTCGCTGGACGACCATACGAGCGCCCTCCACCCATCATGGTGAACGACCACGAGGAGTTCCTCGTTTCAGACATCATTGGTCGCCGAGTTACCGACGACAACCCTCCCCACGTCGAGTATCTCGTACGTTGGAAGGGTTATCCTGATGAGGAGGCTATCTGGGAGCCCCTCGAGCACTTGCAGCACGCTCGCATGTTGGTGCGTGCCCATGACCGTGCTCGTCGTGCCGGGTTCACTGCTCCTCCTCAACCCACTGACCCTCCTCCTTCTCCCTCGGCTGAGGAGACCGCTGATGTCGAGCCTACCCCTTCTGAGGCAGACTTTCAGCAGCACTCAGATGCTTCTGAGCGTCCACAGCGCAGTCGTCGTCATCCTGCTCGATACGACGGTTGACTCTAGCTTACCTTCCTACGTCTTTGACTTGTCAGTACTCCATCCATATCAGTTTTGCTACTTCAGCTCGTCGACGATGCGACTCTTCCTCGACGGCATTTCAGACTTCTCATCGTGGACGTCATCGGCACCTTCATGGAGTTCGTCACGATCAGCTTTGCCTATGTCAGACGTCGTCACTCTCTTACCACTTTACCCTATACAGTACCCTTGTTGTGTCGCATGATGGTCTCCCTTTAGTCAGGTTCCTCTGAGTTGGGCTCTCCCTTGGTATACGTATAAGCATCGGGACCGTAGCGTTGCTCTGGCTTCCCATCTTACGGATCTAGCTCCGACTTCCGTCACTTTAGGAGTCATTTGCATGATTCCCTTACCCATCACTTTTCTACCCTCTGCCGGCCCTCACGCCCTAGTTAGGCAGCCTTGCATGCTTCATCTAGGTGCGCCCAGTATACCAGGCTCCCTTGTCCCCTTGCATGGTCGACCCTCCATAGCGGTCACCCCTTTAGTCGAGCATTACCCGCCCTGATGGTCAATCTGTTGGGGTTATTGGTTCTGTTCGCTCCCAGTTTCCTACCCTCATTGAGCCTGATGACATGTGTTCCCCCTGTCACTATGTGTGGATGCCCTTAGGAGTTTTTGACCCCTAAGTTGCATTAGCCACCCTCAGAGACCGTCCCAACCTTTGGTTTGCGACACACTCCTCATGTGACATATGGTTGCTTTGTTGCTCTCAAACTAAGGCTACTGCCTCTGATATTTCGAGGATTTAGTTGTTCTGCTTTTTCTGTTCTTAGGACTTATACACTAGTCAGTTGTTCCCAAACTGAGGCTACTGCCTCCAACATTCTAGGATCTAGTTGTCATTACTTTCTGCTTTCCTATGACATGTATGCTAGTTAGTTGCTTCTGCTTTCCTAGGACATGTATGCTAGTTAGTTGCTTCCGCTTTCACTTAGGCTATTAGCTGTGACATTGCTGTTTTGTGACATTTTTTTCTATCCTAGGTTGCATCGCATGGACTCAGCATGGAGCTTGCTCCACATCCTAGACTACTCAGGTTTTCTTTTTCTTTGGTAGAGTTCCGCTTCTTGGCGGAAGCGTGCTTATATCTAGGCGATCCATCACAAGTCGAGGATTATGTAGCGGACCTCTGGTTGGCCTGTGAGACCAGCCCCTTGGCCTGTTCTCACAGGCCTGTGTTCTATTCGGGGCAGTCCAGTCCATGCCGGTACCTCTGTCGATACCAGCCAGTCCAGTCCAGTCCAGTCTAGTCCCGTCAGTCCGCTGGGGTACACCCCAGCAGTTGTCTGTTTTCTGCCTCATTCTACTTTCGCACAGTTTGGGAGTACGTGCGTTGGAGTCCGGCGTGGGAGCTGCGCTGTGCCATCTGGCCCCCCCTTCTTTCTCCATCTCCATCTCTATCTTTGGCGGAGCACCACACCCGGATTTCAATAGGAGTGTCTAACGACACCCAGTGTCTGATAGATATATAGGCAGTTGTGTAAGACATGTGAGATGATTACGTCTACTAGTCTGATATGATGTATAACACTGCGCAGGGTAAATGTAATGATTTTGTGTAAGTTTTTTACTTATGGGCAAGTGATGGCTATTCAGAAATACACTGTCATGGTGGTAGGTAGTGATATGATTGTTATCCCGGCTTGCTCCCCCTCGCAATGCGATGCACTGCCTCCTCTATCATGCAGACCCTTCCCTTCTAAGCCTTTTAAGTTTTTAACCCTTGCTTAAACCCCTACGTCTTCCAGCGACCCCTCTCTTCTCCCAGTCTTCTGCCTCATAGGCGGGGCTGCAGTAGTCCATCCTGGTTGGCATTTTCTGTGTTCGTGTAGGGGTAGCAGTTGAGTAGAAGGGTATCTGCTATTGGGCGTGAAGGGGAGCATGGCCGGGGGTAGGGGAGAGATATCAGGGATGTGTTCTAGCTTCAATCTGTGACAGGTGAACTTCGTGGTTATCTGTTGGAACCAATACAAAGTTCGTTGGTTGGATATGGCGCGAGGAGTGGTCATATGGGAGAAACTCCCAACTGTTCTCCGTCGTAAGCCAGGGCTGCCACTGAAGGTGTCTTCGGTGGTCTAGTCTGCACAGTCTGTTATTGGAGTCTACCCAGGTGGTTGTAAAATTTCCAGTCAGTTGTTTTTTTTTTTACTCCTCTGTTTCGTTTTGTAGTTTACATTGCGAACATTTCCAGGCGTCCCGCGTGTTTGCAACTATTGTGTTAGCGATAACAACCTTGGCCTGTTGATGAAAGAATGTATTTTCGCCCCGCTCATGGGCACACCTCATCCGCCAGGCTGTCAAAAGCACAGGCAGACGGATATATTGGAACATGTTTAACGTGAACTGAGTTCAGTCAGTTAGTGGAGGGAGGGTGCCCAGGAGTATCACTTTCATTTCCCAAGGAAAGTGGTGGCATGTAAGATAGTGTCAAGCGGCATCCCACCATTTCCAGATTTGCACCACCATGGGGCATTCCAGGACACAATGCTCCAACGTTGCCCTTCTTGCCGGGATGACGAAATTGCAAAACGTGCACAGGGGGAATACCCGTTGTTGTT